AACTACTCGACCGATTTTCCTCGGATTTGTTTTAAATGAAAGCTCATAGGGTCTAGATGTGCCAAGACCCCTTCGTTTTTCGATTTGCGCGACCGAAGTTGCAAAAACCTCGATTTGATAACGACAAATTTGCGTTTTTGACGCTGGACGAGTCATATGGTTGGGGGACCTCCCACTCTCTGATTTTCCGTTTCCCTCTCCACGTAAACCCATCCCTACCTGCTCACAAAACGTGTCACCCTTCTACCCTAGCATGGGTCCTACGGCAGTTTCACTCATGTCGGGGGTCGGCTCATGTCTTCTTCCAAGAGAATTGGTGATTTATCTTCACCCTTTCGCACCGTTACATTTTCAAAAAGTGTTCTGATTTTCTTTTCCAGGAGTGTTATTTATTTTTCAAGGTTGTTTCTTTTTCTAAAAGTGGGTAATTTTTTGTTTCCTATTCTTTGTTTTTGAATTTATCATTTTGCCTCCAGGAAGTCCTCTAAGCACTGTTAGTAGCAAAATTTGGCTCGCGAAGCGAGCCAACAGTTACTCGCGGAGCGAGTAACTGGGGGTCCAGGGGGCTTGCCCCCGGCTAGCGGCGCAAGCGAGCGTAGCGAGCTGAAGCAGCTAGTTTTTACTTAAAAAGGATCCTCTTTGCGTAATGAAGAATACGGTGCATTCATGTACAGGAAAAAACCTCCAATTTCAGACACCAAAGGGCTGGATAGTTAGCACTTGATATTTTTTTCCCGCTCTTAACATTTTAAAAGGAGTGCCAAAACGCTAGAATGATTTTGGCGATTCAAAAGACCCTCAAAAAAACTTTGCACGTGCCCAACAATCGTTTCTATTTGTGAGAGCAACAACTCTGCTATGTCAGTCGCTGGTCAGTCGAGACACCAGTTGGTATTGGAAAATTGCTGATCATTCTGAAAGCAAATTAGCCACTTACCGAACCTTGACCAGCATTCAGCAAGTAGCACAACAGACCAAGACTTCTTTGACATTTCTTTATGTTCGTATACAATAAATGTAAAGGAGAGCTGTTCAAATCTTATATTTTAAGATAAAGTGAATAATTTCGTTTTCAATTCATTAAATCCAGTCTTGCTGACCAGCATTCATCTTAATCTCTTCTCAAGTATTAGACTAATTCTTTCAATTGAGCCACTTATTCGTAAATACAGATTTTTAAAATTTTTCATATCATTTGAGACAAATTATCTGACTTGTTGAAAAAAAACTGCACATTTCAAACCAGGGGAGCTCTGGAAGGAGCTTCGCTAAAAACAGGTGTTTTTTCGCACCTTCTTGAATACTCGAGTTGGTCAACGGGACAGGGCTCAAATGAAAGCTGATGGTAAGGCAAACTTCCAGGCGAAATTTCAACTTGAAGTGACACCTCGTTTAAGCTGTACAGCGTTGCCAATTTTTCATTTTTTATGCGCTAAAATCAAGTAATTCTGGACTAGGTAACAGTCCTGTGCATCATAATTAAACAGACTATAGTATTTCGGTCTACAGGCTGAATACTACCCTGAGATCGTATAGAAACGCAATGAAAGGCCATCGTGAGCTTTTCGAAGCAGTGTTGCCAATTTATTATTTATTTTTTAATATAAAATGAGGTTATTTTTGAAATTTTTGGCCGAAAACGTACCTTCATGGGCTATAAACTTAGTATGTGCTAAACATAACCGTACGATAGTAAATGATCGCTACTTACGGAGAAAATCGAATTTCAAAAGCTATGTAGCCAAATTTATTTTAATTGTTTACAAAATTTTGAAATATTCTCAAATGAATGCTCGGTCAACGTAATTTTTAAGGCATTTCTACCATTCTGATGGCTGAAGATCACCATGGCATGGTACATGATTACAATTCAAGGCAAAAATTGAATTTTTAAAGCAACGCTGCCAAATTAGGTACATTTCTTTTACAATAAGACAATGATGTTTTTGAGCTTTTCGCTCTAAAATCGTGTATTTTTAGGTGCTGTTGGCTTACAGTGTAAGCAAAATATTACCTTACAATACTAAACACTTGGTTTTTAAAGGAGAAGTCGAATTTTAAAGCCTATGCTGCCATTTCGTGGCATTTGTAGGATAAAATGAAGAAATTTTTTGGCTCCAATTTTGGAAGCAAAACGTGATTCCAGTGGTTTTCTCTGTCCTGGGAGGCAAGAGAATTTCATGCTAGGTATGGCATGTAGTTGTCCTTTATGCCAAAAATGGAATTTCTTTAACTACCTATTTTACCAAATTTTCTATTTTTTATTTATTTATTATTTATTCATTTATTTTATGGTGCTGCGCCAGCTAGGATGATATCTAATATGCGCGTATACGCTGCAGTTCTCAGAAAATAGATATCTCCAATCACAGATCTACTCCCCTACAATCAACAGAAATACAAACCCCTTTACATGCGATGAACCCAATATTACCACTAAAATTCTAAAACTCATCACCTCTCTTAATTTAAAAATCTAAATTTTCGGTTGTACTCCCATTTTCAAAATTATTTGTAAAGACGTTAATAGCCTAAGACGCTGAATGTCTTAAAATTATACTAACTAACTTTTTCCACAAGAAGCGATCATTTACTATCATATGGTTACTTTTAGCACATACTCATAGAACTTATAGCCCATGAAAATACGTTTTCCGCCAAAAATCTCAAAAAATAACCTCATTTGAGATTAAAACATAAATAATGCATAATAATATTGGCAACACTGCTTCGAAAAGCTCAAGATGATCTTTAATTGCGTTTCTGTACAATCTCAGGGTAGAATTCAGCCTGTACACCGATGAACTAGTCTGTTTAATTATGATGCACTGGACTATTAGTCCAGAATTCCTTGATTTTAGCCCATAAAAAATGAAAAATAGGCAACGCTGTACAGCCTAAACGAGGTGTCACTTCAAGGTTGAAACTTTGCCTTACCATAAGCTTCCATTACTCTTGTCCTGCTGACCAGCTTGGGTATTTAGAAAAAGGGGCGAAACTTGGCAAGGTTCTTTCGTTCTTAATTCAAATGCAGATCATATTTTGAGAATTTAGAATTCTGAGATTTTTTCATGGCACATGTTATTTTAAATCTGGAAAGGAACTCATGAGCAGGAGCTTATGCCTTTTTTAAATTTGAACTGCAGGGACAAAAGCAAGTTTTCATATTTTTCAAGTAACATTATGAGAATAGATGCCAACCTTCTTAATCAGGCAGGCACCTATCAAAAACTGACAACAAAGATTTTCTCAGCCAAGTCATTACTTCTGTTAAACCAGGTGCTGTTAGACCATGGTAAAGTTCAAACCTTCATCCGACTTCCGACATTTCAAGTTTTGAGAGAGCATCTCTCACCTTTTCTGGTGAAAATATGAGATACCAAATAATTAATCATGCGCATAGCCAGGGGGTCCAAGCCTCTTTCACGATAGGTCAGGATTGTTTGTGGTTGCTCAAGGCCAATAAAATTCAACTACTCTGAGAATTAAATAGATTCTTGGCCCATGCTCGTGCCGAGAGATACACAATTATGAAGTTGCAGTAAGTGGCATCAGTTTTTGAAAAAACAACATTACAAGTCAGGTACTTAACTACCCGACTAACAGACAGTCTTAGAGATGCAATACATTCATCAAAGAAACTAGAGAATCTCATGGCTTGGTCATGAAGAGGTACGCAATCTTTTCACAGCTTTTCAGGTGCTGCAGTCAGATATTCACACAGCTAGAAGGTAAGTAGGTAAGGCTTCAGGGTTATATAACATTGCATTCCTAGTACCATTAGAAGTTCTTTGGGCGAAACACTTCCTACTTAGAGAGGAAATTAGCATCAATTCTCTAGGATGGTCACTGAGTAAGGTGCGTTGCAATCAGATCATTCGTAGCAAAGCTTTAAGGCTAATCCCAGTTTGTAAGATCTATAAGTTGAGTTTTACGGTCCTGAAGAGCTCTTCGACTCTGATGAGATATCATGAAACTTTTAGAGGCCAGTCAAATTTTAGACATGAGTGATAGGTATGGATATGGGGGTCTAAGTAGGGGTGCTCAAACGAATTCTTGCCGGAACGCTATCGATATCGTCTCTTATTGAAACTGGCGCAGTGCCGACAGTGGCGATGATATCGACAACAGCCGGCCTTATCGGATTTTTGAGAGCTCGTACTCAATGCATTGTTGCCCCATGTGTCGGTTTATCAGATTGCCTGGCACGGCAGCGCGTAAAATAGATGTACAAATGGCAACAGCTTATTTTTGCCAGTTCCGAAAACTCTGATCGCTATCGGCAAGAGCGCTCTTATCGTAACTTTTTCTTAACGGAACTGTTTCGGTAGCTTACAGACAACCGATAGAACAGCCCTAGGTCTAAGTTGTCAGATGTGTCAAAGCTTAGGTGAATGTAACGAGGTAACAGTCCATGCAAACACCACAGACTGAAAATAAACGAGGTGGAAACTCAATGCGTAACTTTGAGAATTTTTTGAGATACTTGCTGAAAGAAATTATGGCTTGAAGGGCCTTCAGAGCTCCTAAAATATCACAGTATGGAGTATACTTGCTCAAAACCCGCACCACCCCCGGGGCCTGGCATCAAAATTTAGATGCCTGATGCAAGGATTGCAATGGGCAATTTCATTACCTGCTGACTCTCTAAGTGATGAAGACGTTAGAATTTGGCTTGATAAGGAAGGATTTTAAGTTATTAGGATCAGCAACCTCATTGGAAACTACTGAATACAGTGGCTCTCAGCCTTTCCAGGTCACGGTGACAGTGAGAGGGACATGAAGTGTCAATTATTATGACACGGCTTACAGAACTTCTAGAGGCATCTTAAGGCATTAGTTGCTTTAATAAAAGGACTGCTTACATGTGTGGTTCCGTTGGTTCTTTTGGAATCTTTAATAAACTTCCATGGGAAAACTCACTAAGGTGTCAGACACCTGTTAGCAATGGCGTGCTGCAGAAAAATCCGACGAAAAATAAAATTATGAGACTCACCTACATAATCTTCCAATAATTTGCCGTTGTCTGGTATTCTAGTTCAGAGTGCAATCGAAACAGCCGCGATCCGCGAACACTATAAAACTCTGAAATTTCAAAACTGCTCCAAAATCACAATTCACCTTGATTTGTTGGGGCTAACTTCCATGAAATCCATACGACAGGTTTCGTTTTCGTTATGTTCGGTCGCACGTGGTGACTTTCCCGCTCAAATTGAACAGAGGGCGGTGTAGTAGTTGACTCAAAAAAGGCGCCAAAATTTGAAAATGTACCTAGTGATCGAGGACGCGCAAGACTCGTGGAAGTCCTGGAAGTGCGTTCACAGGATGGCATTTTGATGGAGAAATTACAAAACTGTGTGACTCCGTTTGCTACACTGCTAATCTCCTATTATATTCCACTTTTAGAAAAGAAAAAATTATTGTTTTGAAAGAATTGCTTCTCTCCGTTCTTTCAAGAATACTTACTCTGTGGAAGGATAGGGCTCATGGGAACCTCTTTTGGCCTTCTAAGGAATTTCCAGCAGTCTGTATGAAGATTATCAACTGATAGGCTAAACAACTCATTGTTAGAAAAATGTTCTTTATTGAAATAGCTGCCTCCATAGATTTTTTTAGGGGTGATTGTTTAAACCTGATAGCCAGAATATTAACCTATTGATAGTGGAAAGTGAAATTTGCTGCACACAACTTTGATTTTAGCACTTCAAAATTAGGACCCATTTAAAGGACGAAAATTGCCCTTAGGAGCACCTATATTTTTGCAAAAAATATCGATTAGTATTTTTTTAAAGTATAAAATACTCATGTGCGGGAATTTACAAATATTTCAGTCCAGAGGATCCAACATCTCATAGTTTAAGGGTTGTATTCATTGTCATTCTTTGAACAGTAAGGTTTCCTCTTCGGCCAAAAGAGTTACATTGGTTAAGGAGGCCTTAACGTTCAAGGAACAATTATGAATACGACCCTTATTACCATCAATATTTAAGTACTTGCATTTTGCAACTGTTGAAGAATATTAAGTGCTTGTAAGCTGCTGATTAAAAAATACTTCGGGGGTATTAGAGTCGACGCCAAATAAGTTTATATACCTATAGAAAGCGACAGAAGATTTTGTGCCGTCAGTTTAGCTTTGAAAGTAAATGCTGGAATCAAGCTGATGAATCTTAGTCGCAGTCTAAAAGTGCGAGAATTTATTTGGCGTCATCTCTAATTGAGTTTCTCTGACCAACCAATTTCTTGAAGTGCAAACCCATCATCTAGTGCAAGCTTCATAGATTATTTTTCATGATTAGTTTTGTGGACCTCATCTTCAGAAAATGTGATAATTTGTTATCATGCTCACAAAATTGACCAGAAGAATTTTAAAGATAAGATCCCCCATCATGATGGTACACTGGGTTCTTGAGTAGAATGAAGGTGTCGAAGATCCATTAATTTCTATTTTTATTCTGAAAGCAGATTCTCCCGATATTTAAGAGCCTACACAGTTAATCAATACCTAAATGAATATTCTAAACTGAAATCACAATAGGGTGTTATCCAAAATTCATTTATTTTTGTGCCTTTTGTTTCCTTTCTTTGCACCTATAATTCATTGAATTTTTGAGGCATTTGTCCGATCAACTTTAATTCTGTTCTTCATTCATTCGACTCTTCGAATTAAACCCTGGGTCAAAAAAATCTCTTTTTCTAACTCCTACTTTTGTACTTACAGACTTTTGGACAGGAGCATTGATATAAAAAGGGTCAAAAACGTAAATTCTTGTCTCAGAAAGTAAGGACTTATCATATCACCTTCCAAACTACCGTAAAACTAATTTACTTTCATCTCATGACATAGAAAAACCCATCATTTGTGTAGGATGAGTGTTGGAGAGAATTGCATATATAAAAGCTAATAGGGGTCTCTGAGTAAATTTATGGGTAAATTGCAGATTAGAATTACAGGGATAAATAACAAATGCAAAAATATATAACTTAACAACACCTTTTTTTTTTTTCAGTTTTACTTAAAATTTGAGAAAGTTACAAGATTTTGGAAAAGTAACAACACACGAACATATGGATCAACTCAAAGGGAAAAAATAATATAAGAACATAGGAGACAAGTCAAAACCTAATTACCTTCACAGGGTCACAGATGAAATCAACTCGAACTGATTATAAAAAATAAACAAATCTTGGTAAGGAAGGTTGACTACAACTGCTAAACTCAAATTATAAAGGATCCATGATTTCCTGTTAAGACTAGACAACCGGTTTGTCCACTGAAATAGATTTTACGTATTTGATTTAACTGGGAAAAAGAAATTTGATTCTAGGAAAAAAAAGGAAAATCTAAGTATGAAAGAATCAGCAGTTCAACCTTTTTTTCAGGTCTAGACACATTTACTAAACTAAGTATACTTACAATCACCCAAACAAATTCAAAAGTTGTAACAAATGACTAATGAAAGGATCATCGGTGCAGAAAGCTCTTCACATCGACATTTTTTAGGGCAGCCTTCACATTGCTGCTCATACAAAATTGCAGGATTCACTACTTTCCGAAAAGAACCCGTTACACAGTTACCTTCGCAAATATTAATGAGTTTAGTAGTTTCCTCCTGAAGAATTAGCCCTACTTTCACATTTTGGTTCTCACTTTTGGTACCTCCACATTTTTCCTGTAGGCGGTTGAGCACTTTCTGCACCCTTGGAAATTATGAGAATATTTGCTCAACCAAGAGCATGGGCTAAGAACGAAAAAAGTAAACAGAAACTAGAGGATTTAAACGAAAGTATCAGTATACAAAAGTTACTTAAGTATATCCTGCTTCAAATACTAGTAGAGTTTCTTACTGCTAAATAAGATAGGTACAAGCTCAATATTTACATCTATTTTTTCACTTAGCACTAATCAAAAATTAAATAATTTTGATTGAATCAAAAATTAAGGAGCAAAATAAACATGTGACCATCACATAAAACAGTGACTGCAACCATATTACGATACAAACTGTTTAGAGGATATGAAAGGAAATTAATTTGTTGCCAGCCGTTTCCGAAAGAAATATAAAACAGACTCCGAAAGGTAACCTACTAAAAATTTTACCCAACTTCTTTCTATGCATAGGAACTGTCCTTAAAGGTGTTGGTGGTATTCAAAAATTAACGTAAAAAAGGGTAAGACAGCTTCCCCTTGACACTTTGAGATGATACGATCCCGTTTCTGGTGTGCGAGACATTGCATCGATTGAGTAAAAAATCTCAGCTTATTTTTAATTTTTAGCCAAAGAAAGGATGTTTGCCCCTGCGCATGAACCTAAAGAATCATTCTTAACCCAGAAATTGGCAAAAATCGTGTAAAGAAAAGCAGGATTCTTCATGGAAAAAAAAACCCTCGCATGAATGCAAGATTTTTTTCCAAAGAGAATAGTACTTTGGGTTCTCTGAATTTTGCCAATTTTTTGATCGAGAATGACTCTTTAGGCTCATGCACAAGGGCTATTGTCAGAGACCGGAACAAATCACCTTAAAAGACTGCACAGACTGTGACAGAGGGATGAGGGAAAACATCGGTAATATTAAACAAGTCGTGCTTACTTATCCCAATTAAGTCATTTCAATAGAGGAGGGGTTATAAATGAGATAGAGACTATTATGCTGATTAAGGAAACAATTTTACATTGGTTTTGTTTATCATAATGCAACAAGAAAGTTCATGGAAGTGAATGAGAAGAATTATTTGAGCTAGATAAGTCCAGTCATTGAATATGGTGCTTAAAGAAGATTTATTTATCACTTTAAATATTTGCTTGAAAAGTGTCAATTTCATCACATCAAACCACAAGATGATATTGTAAGACCCTTTACAGTTCGCAACAACTAATACCTCACCAATTGGGAAATACAAACGCTAAGCCATTCATACAATCATGTTCTGATAGTTCACGATTCAGCGTTCAAGACGAGTTCAATCGACAAATGATAAGATCTGTCCGTGCGTCAAGATCTTTAATGATGGAGATTTTGCCCTTCAGACAACACTTAGATTGACATGATCTACTGCAAGAGTACATATCATGGCTCCTGCTACTTTGTTTTGTCGGTGGAGTAACACATGCAAAATCATTGATTGATGGATCAACATTGTGAAAAATTGCCGCTGCCGATCTTTGCAAGTTGGCAACACTGAATTTTGTTTTAATACATGTACATTAAACAATCCATATTGGACTACTAGACAGGTTAAAAACTTAAACATTACTTGATGTGTATTCTCATAAACATTTCACGCAGAACTTGTTAAACATACTGACAAATTTCAAAATTAACTCATGAGTAAATAATAAGCATTCCAAGTTTACACTACAAACATTGAATTCAAACTCCCCGCTCGGAACAAAAGCAAAAACATTGGTGTAGGTCAAATTAGGCGTTAAAAGTGATCTGTACATTAGGCGAATATCTTCGTTTCTCACACATCCCATTGTAAAGTATACTGAAATTACTTCAGTGATCGATTTGACTTGAGGAAACCCTAGTTTTTCAGTGAGTAGGAAGTTTGAATCAATGCAGGCAAGAACAGTTATTTTCTAACGAATGAGTTGAATTCGGAAAGTTATGAAGACTAGCATATCTGACCCAACTTTCCTCAGCTGATGGTTTGATGGAAAACTATACCAGCTGTTGATTCTGAAACTGAAAAGAATGATCAATACGTAATTAGTATAGAGAGTACTCTTCATTTGAGTATTGTTGCATCGATTTCAAACCAAGGAATGATTTATTTTTATACAATTTTTCTTTTTACTGTGAGTTGATTACAATCTCACTTTACTTCAATGAGAGGACAAGTTTCCTGGTTAGCAAAGAGCAATCAGGACAATCCCTGACAAATTCCGGGCTAAATCCTTAGAAAAAGGATAAAACTCATTTCTGGGACGCATTTGAAAATGCAGCTCAAGTTACTGACAATATATTACTCTACAGTTTGTATAATTGCTAGGCTCGAATAACTATGAAAGCTGCACCAATCAAGAGCATTATTAATGCTCAACCAGGAACAAAAGCTCAATTCAAGAGACTCTAAAAAAGCATGTGATGTTTGCAAACACTGCACAACTGCTAAGAGGTTGGTACAAACATAGCTGCATCATTAAAATTACTTTATGAATAGAAAAGGAAACAAATCTAGGGAGGGCTAACTGCTTATAACGATATCACAGCATTATACAATTACATTCTGAAGATTTCCTTTCTCCTCTTATACATACATAACTTAGGAATCAATGATTACATAGATTAAGGGTACCTGTTGAAGAAGTATACAGAGTCCAGTAAAAGTTTAGATATTTCAAATGAATTTAGAAAAATTGAAAGTCTAGAAAAATGAAGTGATCGGCAGAAAACTGGTTTGAAATACTCTGAGCAACAGAAAATATTGAAAGTTTTAAATTTCATATACTTCCGTAAGTGAGTATGTATTTGATGCTATCATACACTTAATTAATTTTCATTTATTCATGATGAGCTTTGAGCTTGTTGAAAAATTAATCTCATCAAAAGGAAAAAAACTTCAAATTGAGAGAAACTTCCAATTATCTTACAACTACACTGGATCAAAGAACCAATGGAGATAAGCAACAGGCAAAAATATCATTGTTAAAAATGCCAAACATAAAAAAATAGAAATGATAAATCTACAGGGTGCTTTTGCTTACGTACCAACAGTACCTAAAAAGGCAAGAGTTGTCGACAATAATGCTCTTTCATAGAATGTTCGATACTGATAAAGCACACTTATTTCACAACAAAGACAAGGGTCATTAGTCTTGGCTCTGAGTTTAATACAGGGTGTCTAGCAAAATTTTCTTCCCTTGGCCCTGACTTTGCAGGTTTTTCCCAACCCTCGGATTTTTCTTCTCCCTCACTTTCACTGTTTCTTCCTTACCTTTTTTCCGAATCATGAGTAACAAAAAAGGATAAGCATGACTCATTTCAAAATAAAGGTGCAGAGCTCAAATTTCCAAGGAAATATTCTCTACAGGCCAGGAGAGAGTGCTGCAGGGCTCAATATACAACCATATAGCATCATGAACAGGGTTGTCACAGAATTTGGGAAACGAAATTCCCTGATTTTTCTCCGATTTTCCTGTCAAATGTTGGTAAAATTCCTTCGCAATTGAAGGTATGCCGGATGGTTAAAAAGACATACATATATAATTTGAAATAGTTTCCAGGCAAAACTTGTTGTTCGAAACGTCAAACCAATTTTAGAAAGCAAATAAAGGAGGCTTAACAGTTTTTCTGTGTATTCTTTTGAGATAAGAAGAATGAATTTTTTTATGAAATATTAAGGCTGTTGAAAAAAAAAAATGTCTTAACGCGATAATTGGATGGTGAAACTGCAGAAATGCATATCCCAGTTGGCGGCATAGCAAAATTTCTGTCATACCTACTTATTTCCTACAAGGAAAACTACGCAACATCATCTCTTGAGAGCCTCAGTAATTTATTTTCTCTATTAGGAGAACATTCTTCTGTGACAATGTCAAGCCATCATGGCAGTTGGGTCTCCTTTTAAAAATCAAATAGGAACAGAGATTCTGGAACACCGCATTTGAGATATGCATTTCTGCAAATGTACAAACAGACTGGTTCTAGGTACAAATGTACAAACAGACTGGTTCTAGGTATTACGGTCTAATGAATACTGGCGAGGCAGATTCGGCAAATTTCAATTTTACTTCTTATGTACTACTAGATTCAGATTTCTCCTCCTTTATATTTGGTCCGAGCATCTGCGTTCCACTACAATAAAACATAACATCACAACTTTTGATACTTTAGAGAGAAAAAATATCTACCACTGACTATGTCTCTTACACTAGGACAAAAAATATTTTTCTTACTTAGATTAAGCGGTTGTTCTGATTCAAATGAAATTTACAGCTAGAAGGATACAAAATTGGAGGATCCTAAGGATATATTGGTGAATATGTGGTTGGAATTCTATTAATTAAAAAACCTAATTTCATTTGAGATGACTGGTCATGGAGCTTTGATGTAAAATTACCTGAGATAATATTAGTTAGCTTACTCAATTGACTTTTGGTGGCAGCTACTGCAAAATTGAAGAGCTTTTATTAGATAAAGAGAATGAAAATCATCAGGTTCAAAAAAAAGGTATTTACGATTCTAAGACTTTCAGGAAAAAAAATGTACCGCTGATCAAGGACGTGGCGTGAATGATCGATTATCGATATTTCCCCATTTGAATCTGTGGTAAAGAATCGATTATTAAGGTGTTCGCTGCAAACACTCTGTTAATCGATCCTTTTCCATAGGTTTAAATGACAGATCAATCAATATACCGCAAAGAACGCCATGTCACTGCTGCTAATGTCAGAAAATATTAAGATAGGTCTAGGCTGCGTATCATAAGTTTAGCTGCATTTTACTTATCAGAATCAGACATTTTTATTTTTATTCTGAAATTCATAGGTGTCAATTCTCAAGCAAACTCAATTTTATTGAATGGCATTGGCTTGAGAAATTAGTATTATGTTAAAGTGGCTCTCCAACTCTTCAAAGAACGATTCTATAGTCAATCAATCAATTGATAATTTCAATTTTCGATTTCTAGCTTTTGTTTTTGCAAGACAAAGAAATTAGGAGAAAACAAATGCTCAATAACGATTGAAATCATGCAAAGGAAGAAGTTTGTAAGACTGTTCAATAGGTTAGGATTTTAGTGTCTCTTTGGCAAACCTGGCCAACAGCAACTAAAAAAACTGTCAGTGGACATCAGAAATTTAAAAGAGCATGTTGCAAACTGCGCAAATTGCCCGAAAGAAGAGAGGATATCAGACTTCTTTGATTCCTTGTGTTATTTTACTAATAAAAAGTCTATTCACATAAGTGTGTCCATTGCTAGTAACAGATCATTCATAATGAAACCAAATAAACCATTGATACGCAAGATTTCGGGAAAGGGATTTATTTACTGAACCAATTTTTCAGGCTGAAGATAGCAGATGCCATAAATCTCTTTTAACTGGTATTTGTTCATCCTCACGGCTCATTAAGATGAATTGTTTAAAAAAACTTCGATTACATCAATTAAAATAATTTCAACTCAGAGATAATTTTAAAAAATATATATTAATGATGATAAATGGAGCAAGAATATTGATGGTCTGGCGAATTAATTTAGTCTATTCTCTGTGTCATGAAGTCTAACAGAGATGTCAACACATTGATGTGGATATAGATATTGATTGACTATTAAAAGCAGCAGAATGCCTGACCACCTAATGCCAACTTAAAAAAATACCTCATTTCAAAATCTGTACACGATGATGCTTGAATATTTAAATTGAAATTCAAATACCATACTAAGACAGAGGAAAGGGGAGGAAAAATTTCCAAAAAATTTGAGTAAAAAAATACTAGAGCTTAAAGCATTTCAATCTAGAGGTTAAACACTTAACTGTCACAGTTTGGAAGTAAAGGGTGGAACTTTAAAAGGAGGATGAAAGTATGAAAGACAAAAGGAAAAAAATACTGCACTTAAAGTGCTTAGGGAAACTAACCGTCCACAGAATGAGGAAGTTCAGTCTAGGATGTTTTTTTACTGGTGTTCTTTGGTGGTAGCAGGAATTTGATGATAAAGATCTTGTAGATGGGCCAGAACAGAAAAAGATGTCCCATGAAGTAAAATGATTTGTACAGATGCCACCACTTGTGGAACGTTAGTACGGCGAATGGTCCATTGCAGTAGCCAATGAATACGAAAGTATACAGCTTCAAAATTATGTATACAATTGTCTTCTGAGGTTGTTTTGAGATGTAGTTTAGGAAAGTTTCATTCTTCTTACAAATTTCGATCATCTGAAACAGAATGAAAGGTAAACTTTAAAATAAACTTTCACACCCGCAAGAAAAAATATAAATACGAGGAGGATCAACCCTAGACACTACAGTGGCTCAAAAAGTTCAATCGCTTCGCATTTATTGAGGAAGTCTTCACACTGCTCTCCACATGGGACTAAGCACTTTACTAATTTCTTCGCATAAACAGGGTTGCCAAAGAGTATCGATAAAAGGGAGAGCAGCCTTAACAACAAGTTTGGCTAAATCGACGAAGAAAAGTGTGCAATGAACGATGCCGAAATCTGTTTGCGAGTATCTGCATTCATTGAGCGGCTATCGCGAAAAAACAGCTGAACGCTGAACGTCATGAGCTCAGTCTCGCATTTTGCAGCCTGCACTCTGCATTCTGTCACCGGTGTCAAGTGGCAGATGCGTGTTGGCGACAAGTTATTAGTTTGCCCGAAACTCGCCCGTTCCTGGCCGACTCTTTTTTCTTTGCTTAGGTGTGACTATTAAGGCGACTTCGCGGCGCCAGACAGCAAACGTGCCAGACTTCGAGTTGTGTAAGGGTGAACCGCAGTCACATTAAGAGCGCATGACGTCACCAGTCAGACTTACAATCTTTCATATCTCTGCCAATTTTGCGAGTTTTTCAATCGGGACAGAGCCATTTTGCTTCTCACATCTTCCCGCTTCAATTTTTAATACTATCTTATTTTCGCTTTTAGGGTTGCCATCCCCTATAATGAAATTCCCTGACTTCCATGAATTCCCTGATTTCTGGTCAAATTCCAAGACATTTGAGGAAATACCAGATGGTTAAAAAGACGTAATTTGAGACAAGACTAATCCACACAGGTCCATCATGGCGAATCTTTCTAAAATCCACTCCTTCGCCCGGCCTTCACTTCGCCTTAGCCAATGTGATGTCACATTGGCTGCTCCCGTAAGAAATACATTGCATTTTTTTATGCTGCAAGAACAGTTGGCTTTACGTCAATGTGCAGCAGAGTTCCAAACTTGTCCTCAGGAATGACTGGGCTATGTAGATTGGTCTTGATTTGAAATAGTTTTCACAAAAACTTTGTTTGAAGCATCAGCCCAATTCTAGGATGCAAATGGAGGTGATTTAACAAACCTGACACTTTCGCCATTTACCCTGGCATTTCCGGGTTTTCCCTGACTTTTAAAAATTTCCTGAAATTTTCCAGGTTTTCCGGACTGTAGCAACCCTAATAAAAGAACGCGCTTCACTATTTTCTTCCCATTAGAGAGCAAGTCACACAGTTTCCTGTGCAGAAAATAATGCTTTTCATGGTTTTCTTCACAAAAAGCAGCGCATTCAAAGGAAGAAAAATTGCGGAGATTAAAAAATTAAAATCTCAAAAGCCTTTGGCCTTCATATTTTCCCCTGTTTTCAGGTGCCTACACATTTATCATAAGCACTTCCTGCAACCCAGAAACACTAAAGAAGACACATTGTTTGAAGGGCAAAAAATGAAAAAAGATAAGTTCATCTTGCATACTTCCTGTTGTACTTCATTCTTTCTTTGGAAAAGTAATCAATGAAATTTCTTGAAATATTGATTTCTCTTCTCTGTTAGCAGAATGTTCTGTAAAAATTTCAAGCTAAAAAGTTGCTTTCTTTCCATCGGAAAACATAAAATATAAGCGGAAATTTTGAAACACCGGAATGGAGCTACAAAGTTCCGCACTTAGGTCACTAATATTATATTAAATATTTTTCTTATAAATTAGTTAGAAGAAATTCCTCTCAAATTGAACGCATAAGTAATCCTAAAAAATGATGAAATCTAATTTAAGAGCTTTACTAGTGCTGCTACTGTTGAAAAACATAATCTGTAAAACTTATGACAAATTTTAAAATCTGTTCTTCTCCCAAAGATTATTTTACTTCATCCGAATACTCACGTCTTTTTCAAATGCAACGATCACAAATTCCATGAAAAAGGTGGTGTAGTAACCAGAATGGATTCCATGCCACACTGACAAAAACAAGAGAACAGCTGCTTGAGAGACATACTTGTTCCCGAAGAACCGTAATCGTTTATAAATGTACCTGTTGCAAATAAAGCAAACAATGAGATATTAAAAACAGGTTCATTCCATTACTTGTATTATGCCATACACTATGTTTTTATTGATCAATTGGTGAGAAATGAGAAGATAGCTGATCACAATAAAGTAACAAGGTACAAGAAACTGTAACGTAAGATCCTTCTTGCATGCTTCCTTCATCAGATTAGAATCTTGTTATTATCAGAAAATTCTCTGAGGAGATTTTTGAAATATTTCATGTTGCAGCAACTGCCACAGCTTGACTGAGGATGAGAGGAAAGTCCCACAAAATACAGGACATCTCAAATCACAGAGCAGAAACTTTAAGGACATGTCAAAATGGTATTGTACAAACGTAATTGGTCTACATACTGCATGCCAGTCAAACAGTTCTAGAACTAATGGACTTCGTTTTGCAATTAGGAAATGCAATTTCTGACTTGGTTATGAAACAACGTATGCACCCCCTATGCACATAAGTGTTTTTACTGATGAGCCAGAAATTGTGGTTTCTTAATGCAATATTTAGTCCAAATTGATGAATGTGAGGGGGGAAAATGAAGCTGAATAAGCAAATGACTGAGACCACACCTTTCTCTGCAAGTGTTCAAACCAATCCAGCTGCCTAGTTTTGATATCATGCACAATATCTTTCTCAACTCCCATTGTTCCACACACTCGCTTATTACGAACGTGCTCTCTCCACGAAATCCCTGCCGAGCTCCGCTAGAAGTCCATTTCGGTTGCCTTTAAGATATCCTCGGATCCTTTCTTCAATTGCCAGACCTCACTCCTGTACATAATTATACTCTTCACAATGGCGCTGTAAATTATTTGTTTATTTTCCTTTGAGATTCTCAGATCCCAGAGAACCCCGTTCAACATCATGATGGCTTTTCTTCCTTGCAAATTACGTTCTCTGATGGCCCGATCAAACTTCCCATCATGGGTAGGTCATACTCCAAGGTATTTATATTCTTCACATCCGTTGATGTACCAGCCATCCTCCAACTCTATACTTTGCTGATCACCAACTGATCAGTCACCAACTAATAACTGAGAGGAGAAAGGCAGATGGTCGGTAGCCCAGATAGGCATTTGATTGGGTTCCTCCCAGAAGAAGGCCGCGTGGAGCTTGGACATCCAGTAAAAGGTTGGAAGCAGAGAGTGGAGGAGGAGATCGGAAGGTGTCATTTTCCTGATGGTCTGTTGGGAGATCCATTCCAATGGCAATTGGGAGTCGCAGAGCGCTCCAGTGCACTGAGGTAGCGACTTGATATATATAACTGAGGCCATAGACATGTTTAGAAATGATGGGTGGAAAAATACTTACACTAAGACCCATTGGTTGGTATTGATATTGAAAGATTCGACATAATGAATATGACTTCGTGCATTTTCCAGCACTCTGATTCGAATGTTGGCAATTTTATCAAACTTGAGATTTCCCTCTTTGTCAGTGCCATTATATCCTAATCCTGAGAGACAGAAAAGAAAACTCAGTAAGCTTAACTTTAAAACTACACATCTTGTGATGTATTGAGCAAGAGTATTTGAAAAAATAATACGGGACGTTAAAAGTCATGTGTCAAAAGACGTAAATATCTAGCTTAGAAGTTACTTCCATAATTTTAGTTGTGCAAATTAAGCTCTACAAAAAATGAGAGAACATACATTGTAGGTAAGCAAATTTTCGTTCATCAACTGTTGATGAAATCTGTAAAAAAGTTGCGCATTAAAAAGTTGGTATTTTCATCAACCAATCAGAGTCTGGTGGCCTGTTTGCAGGACTGTTGATGAGTTTAACTCTCTCAACCAGAATCATCAACATGTTTGATAATGTGATCCGGAGCATGTTAACAAAACCGTAGACTGTTGACGAAAATTAAAAAAATTACACTTAATTACGGGCGATTTGGCGGGAAAGGCTAGGCCACGCCCATTTAATCACAACCAAAGAACGAAAATTTGTTTTTATGGCGTATTTTCATTTACGGATTTCCTCAACAGTTAACAAACGAAAATTCAGCAAATAATGCTAAAATTTGCACCTTGTGAAGTGGTTCATTGTGTGCCACCAGCACTTGTTTTGAATTCAATCTTTGGCTGTAAAACTTGAACAACAGTGCAGAGTTATTTCATGTTTCTTAGAGCCATAACAGTCAACCTATAATTAGATAGGGTTTTCTTTCTTTCAAATGTATAAGGCTGTGCCCAAGGTAAAAAACCAACTTACCAAAAAGAATGCAGGCACCTTCCCCAAGAAGCCAGATACAGATATATTTATAGAAAACAAGTCTTCCCCAGATTCCAAGGTAGAAACACTTCCTCCAGAATGGGTAAGTCTGAAATTCATTGAAACTTAAATGAAAACTGAGCACATTAATTCATTTACCTATTTTAGGTTTTTGCAGGGGTGTTTTTTTTTCCAAGAAAATATTATTATTAATTTAAAACAAGGTGGAAAAGAATTTCGAAATAAATTGTTTTGGAAAGCTCAAAAACAACACAAAAACCAGTTTTCAGCTATTCATATGAAAAGGAATAAATTTCTGTGAACTTGTTACCGTAAATTAAAAGATTGTCATTCAAAAAAGCATATGTGTCAAAGGCAAATAGTCAAATCAGGCATTTTGTCAAATGCCAAGGCAAATAGTTAAATATTCTTACTTAGACTGAAATTTTGATGATTTTGCTGACTAGAGACAAGGTAATTCTCTGATCATGTGGATATGAATTCCCTTTAAAAACTTGTTCCATACAATTATAAATACGTTTTTTCTAGTTCATGAATGCAAATCTATCTCAAAACATGCAGCATTTCGTAAAATAGAAAGTTTTCACAATTTGGGCGGTTGAAAAATTATGAGGAACTTTCCTGAACGGGAAATAAGATGACAGTTTCTTCTTTGACGAATTTTTAGTCTCAAAATTTTGAAAATTAAAGAGGTATTTATGAAAATATAAAAAACCTCGTAAACATTGAAAATTTGAGTATCTGCCTAAGCATTTGATAGCCTCCAACGTATGAATGCTCAAATAGAATACTCAAAAGCCAATTGAATGCACTTAAAAAGAGTATTCGATTGACTGTATATCTTGCTTGCAATAGACCCAATAGCGAACTGGACAAGTTCCATCAATTTGGAGCAAAAATATGCATAACAAACTTACAGACAAGGAAAATAATTTGGCATCCAACTTTACAGTCAACAAGTAAGGTAAAGCTGGGGAAGAAGTGACAAAGAGGTGTCTATGGCAGAAATGCTAGTCATGACACTCTGCTTACTTTATCAAAGTGCTGCAGCTGCAGACCGAGAGAGTTATTTCAATACCGTTCATTTTTTGTACGGATTTAATCAAAATCAGCCTAACTCCATTAGAAATTGCCTAATGATCATTTTTTTTAGACAGAAAACTAAGCACCACTAAAAATTGAAATCTTGTAAGTAAATTCTTCATGAACTAGCGTAAATTCACAGAGAGTTCAACAGTGTTGAGTGTCTTAGTTCTCTGTTGAAAAACGAAAAAAATGGGAGAAAAAATGAGGCAAAAAGAAATGGACTAAATTTTGCCATTGGAAACTACAATTTCTGGCTCCGTTTAGAAACAACATACATACCATTATTTTCCTATGTACATAAGAGTATTTATGAATGAGCAAAAAAATGCAGTTCCTAATTGTAAAGTGTTATCCAAATGTCGTTAGGGTGATTCTGAGTTGATTCATTCATTTCATCTATCTTGCTCATACAGCCCAACTTGCTATCTAAGTGTTTCTTGCCTTAGGGAGTGATCGTACAAACTTCTGAATTTTATAGCATTTATCTTCCCTGATTCTTTGGATTCATTTTTGAAAATCACTATGCTATGCATGGCTGATCCATTCTCTTAAACAGGAAAACTTACGTCTAATTCATCACTGATCATGAAGTCGTCCGTTATAATGGAGGAGCCAATATGATAAACTCCAAGATAGAAAACTCCTGCTAAGGCTCTCTGAATAGCGTATTTCATGGTAGCAGATGATAGACTCCAAACCTCCTTATAAAACAGACAAAATTTAAGACATATGTTTAACAGGTACAAAAAGCTACCATCTCAACAAAATAAAACGACCTTCAAGAAGTAAATATATGAAAAAAGCTCGAGCAATAGATTTCACATTATTTCCCTGTTTCAAAAATATCCTTTCTTTTTTTGATTCTGGATTTGCTTGGTACTTTTGATATGAAATCATCCTGACTTCACGTTGACATCATACTAAATACACAGGTTGATACAATATCAGTGTTGACTTCAACATGATTTAATCATGATTTTGTCCGACATGAAAAAAGACATTAACGAGAAATAAGAAAGGACTGCTCTGAAATCTCTTGCTTCCAAGTCACGAATCAAGTTTTACACCATCGTACATTTTAAAATTTTATTTTTGGTATAAAAAATAATTTGCAGAAATCCGTTATTGTGTCGCAAACTCTTTTTAAAAAACATAATACAATACATAATTTTAAGTTTCTTGAGAAGAAATAGTTTCTTATCCTATCATTTACGCAAGGGTCATCTAAAAAGTTACCTGGAAGAAAATCATTAAAATAAAAGATTGATAGAAATATTTCTTCTATAATCAAATTTGTTGAGGTTCTCTGATATTGACAGACTAATTTTGGTCGTTAAGAATACCATTTTCCAAGCTTGATCAGGGGTCTAAAGAACTGAAAAACTCGCGATTTTTTTTACCTTGTTCTCAACATTGTTGAATTTTCCTGCAATCAAATCTAGGTACCGTGTTATAGGAAACTGTGGACCAATCATGAAACTAGAGGGGAAAAATGAAAATCCAAGCACTTCAAGGATGGTAGGCATTCTTTTGATTGCAACTTCTTTCATATCATTGGAGAGTTTTTCCTAAAAAGAAAAAAAAGCAAAAGATTAAATTATGTGTGTCACTGATTTTTTTAGATTCTCTGATATTTCCCAGTTCTCATGGCTTTTCCTGACTGTGGCAACCCTGTTTCCAGAATCTAGCTATGCTTTGAAGGAAATTTCTTCTGAATAAAAATATATGAGATTAGGAGGAGTAAGTGATTTTAAATTAGCAAAAATTTGAATAATGCTGAGATGTGAGTGTTGACCTTCACTCATTTATCATCATCTTTGCAGAAGGCTAAATTTAAAGTTGAATGCATAATAACCTGATTTACTAGGTACTCCAAGAATTTCTGAGTTATTTCAGCAGGATTATCCTCACCCTCTCCTTGTGTTCATTGGATGAAAGGACTTAAATAATCTGATGGTAGATGAGAGGAGGTGAGTCCAACTGAACTTAACAATTTCTTTTTCTTATTAGCAGAGAGGGCTGCTAACAGGCATTCAATCCAAACTAGATATTAAAACTGGATCACATTAAGCAAAGAGAGCAAATACAGTGTTGTAAAACTCATGCATCTTCATCTTTCTTTAAAAAATTTTCCAGAATAGCAAGAATTTTTCGCTATTCCACCACACAAATTTTAATTTTAAGGGAGAATAATCGTGTAAATTTTAGTTCTGGAGGTACACACATTTTATGCGCACATATATTTTAATGAGAAGAAGAAGATGCACAATTCTAAGAACACTTTCGTCGAACTGGTTCCTTCCTGGTAAATGCAACCCAATAGACCACTAGACAATGTACGAATTTAAGCGATCTGATACATGTTTCCTAACCAGAATTTCATGTAGAGCCGTCTTCTTGCATCGTAAATTATTAAAATCAACTCTCAACTCAGATATTAACGTTTTTATTTTACATTGGTTACGGGCATTTTGAATTGCATGATCACACGAAACTCAGTCCAATTGCGTACTACAACGGTTTTGGCAGGCTTCTCAATCCAGCACTGTTCATTTCCCACACCTATGTTGTTCAAACTATAAACAACTTGCTACAGCTGAGCCAGAGTGTCAAGATTGAGGTTGCTAGATTTTCAAATTGCAGAGAGTGTCATGATAATTTTTAGTGTGCGATTTGACTCACGTAGATCATTGAGTTTTCATGAGCGGGAAGTTTGAATTCATGCGTCAAGACAGGGACGGACTGGCCGGGGTGGCGATGGGGCGATCGCCCCACTTTCATCGGCCAAAAGGGGCCCCAGAGGGGCCCCTTTTGGCCGATTTGAAGGGCCGTATTTCGCCGTTTCGAAGAAGCGCCCGAGGGCTTTTTCGGTTCGTCCTCGAGAAAGGGCCCCGAGACTCCTGAGAGGACAGGACACTTTATTGCTGATTCGGAGAGCGCCCTGAAGGAGCTTTTTTATGCCGTATCTAAGGGCGTTGCATTTTGAGAGCCCTTTTTTCTGATTCGAATAAGTCCAAAGGGGTCCTTTTTTGTCATTTCGGAAGAGCCCTGAAGGACTCATTTATTGCCGATTCGAAGAAGACTCGGTGGAGCCTTTTTTTGCCGCTTCTAAGGACCTTAATAGAGCCCCTTTATCTGATTCGAAGGAGTCCTTTTTTGCCGTTTCCAAGGGACCATTTATTGCCGATTTGAAGAGGCCTTGATGCGGTTTTATACCGCCTCTAAGGACCTTCAAGGCACCGGGCTCTTTATCGCCGATTCGACAAAAGGGTCCTTTTTGCCGGGGGCCCTTTGGTACTGATTCAGAGAGGCCTCGAGGGCGCATTTCTATGCAATTTTGAACTTTGGAGGCCCCTAGTAGGGAACCTTTCCTACCTTCCTCAAGGGATTTCGTAGGGGCCTTCGGCGATTTTTCCCCCCTTTAGCGAAATCCATAATGGGGGCTGTCCATACTATACGTAAAGCAGTTTTTCCGATTTTTTTACCCCCATCCCCCCTCCGTAACGCATGATCGATTTATTCATTCATTACGCGTCATTTAACTAGTAAACGGCACTGATTTTTCTATGAGCAGAGCGAAGAAAGGATCCAATAAAACGTTCAAAAAAAAATTAAGACAGTTGTCAATTTTGGCGGCTAAAAAGTACATTTAAAAAAAACAAACGAACAAAAAAATCCGAACTGTGTTTTTCAGAATGTGTTCTTTTTAGACTGTCACTATTACTATTCTACTTGATTCTATGTATCTTCTGTATACTAATTTAGCTTTGGCACAATTTTTCGTTGGAAGAGGAAAATAAAAGTTGAATTCCAAGTATACAACGGATTCTCATTTTTTCATCCAGTTTAAGAAAATATACTAAGTTTTGCATTTCTGGTCTCTTTTTGGATAATGTTTCAAAAATAATATTAAAGAATAGGGTCTAAAATAGCGAAAAATTCATTCTAAAAGGGCCTAATTTTCAAAAATTTCCGGGGGAGGGCCCCCGGACCCCCCTTCTACTGGGGGGGCCCCCCAGACCCCCCTAGGGGCCCGCCCCATACTTAATTTAGGGCCAGTCCGCCCCTGCGTCAAGAAACATTGAATATATTGGTTAGTAGTTCATTTCAGTAATTTTTGTTGCGCAAATCGTGTTTTACGTAAAATTTTGGTTAAGAAACATGTATCATAATGCTTCAATTCGTACCTTGTCTAGCGGTCCATTACGGACATCATGTGAGAATCAAGAGTTAGGCAGATAATATCGAAGAAAAAACAGGAGAATTATAAAATGAAAAACAGTTTGTTTAAAGCTGGTAAAAACATACCTGGTCTCGTCTGTTCCCATCATAATAGTTGAATACAAGTCCTATAAGTCTTAAAACCAAGACACATAAAGGCATTGTAAATGTGAAATCATAGCCATCGGTAGTGGTGTTCAAAATATACCCTGGAAAAATGTGGAAAACATTTTCATCAGACATGAGGTGGACTCTCACACTCTCCAACGAATAGAATGTAAGGGAAAAAAAAAATATGACGCACATTCTCCATTCTTCTTGCAGGGATCTCATGATCACTCCATTCTGGTAGTCTGTAAATTTTGGTGAGGGGATCTAACACAAAACTTGAAAAAAAAAAAAAACTCTTGGAGGATACATTTAGGATTTCAGAGAAAATGTCCGATTTCCTCTTAGATAATTTAGATTAATTCTACCTCTGGAATCTTCCCTTGTTTTAAATAGAAAATACCATTCTATGACATCAGATGAAAAATATATCCCACATTTTGTCACTTTTATATCCATTGTTCCTTGGAATCCCTCATAAGAGGAAAAATTTAAATAAATTAGGGAGCAGGGCCTAACAGGCACCTTCAGTTGAATGAATAAATTCTTTTCATTAAATCTCCCATTCTTTTTACGAACAGGGTGTCTATTAAAACAGGCTGGCCATAAAGCAGTACTGTTACAGTGCTTTTTCAGTATATTCCCAAGATTTTCAGTACCTCCTCAACAGTAAAAATTCAGTTCTTTTTCAGTAACTTCAATTGACGAAATTTGAAAAATTAGAATTCCTCACTAAAATTGCGACAAACAAAAAAAAAAATAAAATAAAAAACATTCTGGACCTTCTTGCGGAATTTCTGCACTTTTTCAGTACTTCAGGACCGAATTAAAAAAATCAGTACTATTTTCGGACTTGCTGAAAATTCCGGACTTGTAGACACCCTGACATACCTAAAGCAGTGATTTAACCTATGATAAGATGTACAACAAAAAAGGTACAAGGGATATTAAAATTTTCAAGAGCTTTGAACGAAGTGGAAACTCACCATACAACAGGTAGACCATTGTAGAGATGAAAACAAGGGCCACACTTGTTCGCGTAGGTCCCACAAAAAGCATGACTCCATACGTGAAAAGCACATTAACTAAACAATGTATGATATCAAAACCTGAAAAACACAAAAAGAACAGGATCATAGAATTTTATCGGACGGTTGATGAAAACCAAGAGGTAGGGTGACTTCAGTTGCGTAATGGGAAGATCTTGTTAAAAAAAATTGACAAAAGCCTTGAAACACCTTTCAAAAACATTTACAAACAACACCCAACACATTGCTTGTAAACTTGACATTGAACACCTTCATAGAAATAATGGATTTTTCAATGATAATTCTACTTATTGTTAAATATGCACCTGGCTCTTTGTTATAGATAGGGGACAGGTATTGGTATATTACTTGTTCCTTTAGAATGACAAGTTTTCTTGATTTTCAAAATTCCTTGACTATCCTATGAATTTCCACGATTTTTAAAAATGGAATTCCATGATTTTTCATAAAATTTATTCGAGTTTGGAGTCTCTAAAAATGGGAGAAAAAATTAAAATTCAAGAATTTCAAGGCATAAGGTGCATCTGATGATGATATTCATCATACACAGACATAGAAACTATTGCAACGAAATAATTTTTACGCTCGTTCTATGTTTTGGCCGGGAGAAAAAATTTCAGGGTTCTGCAGCAAGTTACCTGACTTTATCAGGTATTTTAAAGACGTTTCAAGAACTTGTGATCCTGATATTTTGCCTTGAATGGCAGCTTTTTGGAGACTTGGTCAGAATTTAAATGCTGCTTTTTGTTTTTCACAGTAAGAATCTGATACATCCAGTACCATTATGTCGCAGGCAGTAAGCAATTGCTGGCACTTTTCAAGGGGCATGGATGTTATCTTGTCAATACACAATTGTTTGCAGCAGCATAGTAAGGGAAACGAACTAAAAAGAACATTACATTACATTAGTAAAGAACTTTAAGAGCACCACCTCCACTTAAAGCACCTTAAAATCTTGATGTCCATACTTTGCCAGGCAGTTAATTGAGATGCCTACCTGAACCAAACTCAACTAAGGTCAATATTTGCACTCTTGAGTGTGCGCAACCAACAAGAACTTGTCTGTTACAATTCCAAGCAAAATAACAGTGCTTTCTGACTTCTTCTTTACACCTGAATTTTTACATTTTTTTATTCAACACAAATAGATTGCAATTTACTGATGATTGCTAATTGGACTGAGTTAAGCAGAAAGGAACCAACCTACAGTTTGGAAAAAATTGAGTTATGAGTGGTTTTGAACTCAACCACTGCTCTACTATCTATCGCCAAAAATTCAAAGTTTTTGTTGGAGCAAATTTTGCAGAAATTGAACTTGAAGTTTAACTTTTACATTGAGTCTTATGCAGGAGCTAAACTTTAAGCCTCTTTTTCTTGGTTCGATCCTGATGTGGCTTGGTTCCTTTCTGTTTAACTCCGTCAAATTGCCTGCGACATAAACATTTAATGTAATCAGCGACTGCTATCGAAATCAAGAATATAAATATTAACTCACCATAATTATAGTACCCTAAATATAATCCAGTGAGGAAGAAGTATAAACTTTGTTCATTTTGAGATCGTCCTTTAATATACTTTTGATAAACAAACGCCAAAGGATATCCTGCAACATATTAAGAACATTCCTCATGAGAAAGAAGGTAAGAGACATTTACCTTCAAACTAGGTTACAATTCGTATTGAACATTAAAGTCATTTAATATGCTGGATAATAATTCATTGTGACTTCTGATCAACGATTATGATCAAGAATACTCACATCAAAAGGTCAACTCATTGTCTGCGATATAATTGAAAATGGACCACTAAACAAGGTACGACTTTCAGCATTCTGATACATGTTTCTTAATCAAAATTTCACGTAGAACACAATGCGCATAGCTAAAATTACCGCAATTAACTCCTTACGAAGATATTTAATGATTCTTGATGCTTGAATTGAAACCACCCGCTCATGAAAACTCAATGCTCTACGTGATTCACATTGCGCGCTAAACGTTATCATGGCAGTCTCTGCGATATAAAATTCTGGCAACCTCAATCTTGACGCTTTGGCTCAGCTGTAGCAAGTTGCTTATAGTTTGAACAACACATGGTGGGAAATGAGCATTGCTCGATTGAGAGGCTTGCTGAAACCGTTGTAGTGTGCGATTTGACTCACGTAGAGCTTTGAGTTTCTTGTGAGCGGGCAGTTCAAATTCCTCGTGACCAATGTGAAATAAAAATGTTAATATCTTCGTTAGGAGTTGGTTTCAGTAATTTTTGTTGCGAGAATCGTATCCTACGTGAAATTTTAGTTCAGAAACATGTATTAGAATGCTTAAATTCGTACCCTGTCTAGTGGTCCATTCTTCAAATTCTGAGTTATCATTGTTCGCCTCAATCATGATTGAATTGGTCATTCTCAAGAAGACTTATTCACCAGAAATTGAAATATGAGAAAAATAGAAAAAAAAGGTTTAGTTGAACCCATTCTAAACCTCATAGCTCCAAAATATTACAGCGTTTAATTAGTTAGTCGCATTATAACTCGGTCAGAGATTTGAAACGGGTTGGTTAATCAAGTTTCAGCGGTTTTTTTCTACTTTCATTTCAGGTGCCCAAGTAAGTCTGTACGAGAAAGACCAATTAAATGTCCATGTCTGGATTTTCTGAGAAGCACTAGAATGTGCCCATAATCTGCATAATCTCACACTACAGATTTTCATACTTAACCGATAGCTTCAAAGCATCATTGCGAATTGATGCTGGTCATTACTAGGTATCAACACTCGATGATACTTGATATTGATACTCAACGAAATTTGGTGTCAATACTTTCCACATCAGTACAGTGGGGTGCTTGACCTCAGACCCTAGATTATCAATATTTTCGATGTATCAATACTACCAGTGCTTACCAGCACGAAAGCCAGAATTGATGATCAAGTATCGACATCCGACTACTGCACTTCTACTAGCAAATTCCAGGGCAAAGTGATGGCTAGCCTTGTATTAAAGAGAGCCCAAAACTGGCGGTTTAACTTCCTTCATAAAATGGGAAGGTGCTGCATCAAACAATCCTTAGTTAGATTCCTACTGCAATGGGAGCCGTAAGTTGGGAAAACACTCTAACCCCACATGAATTTCTGAGTTTCCTTGCTCTTGTATTACGGCAATAACAACTCATGGTTGGTCTCCCAACGCACATATTTTCATCGATGGTTTCAATTGCGAGCTCGAATTGTGTACAATTGATAAAACTTAACTTCATTGTTACAGTGCACGCTACCTCAGTCTAAGGGTGGAGATCTTAGACTTGAATCGAAGCCTTTGAAGTGCACTACTGACAAAAGCTGAATTACATGAAAAAGTGATAAATTAATAACTCACCAAGCAGCACGGAGAACAGTAATCTCATAGCCGGCTCGGCGACCCCAAGTTTGGAGGCCAGCAGCCCCGCAACGTTCAAAATTGAACCCATACTGATAACACTGTTAAGATTTGATCAAAGTTATCTTCAGACCGAGAACATACTGTCGATCTGGAAATGAATGCACGGGAAGAATTAGTTTAAAACACGAATTTAGAACCCGAGAGAAACAATTTACACAAACAACGGAAACAAATACGAGGAAATAAAGTAGGAAAAACTAAGATCGCTGCTCGCTTTTACAAGTCGAGTTACAAAAACAACAAGTCAGTTCCGGAAATCTTGGGGCATAGAGAAAAAAAGGAGGTGTTTGCATTTCGGGCATCTTGGAATATTTTGATGACTTGATGACGTAGGTGGGTACAGTGTGAAGGGGACGTCCCTGTACCCAGCTGTACCCACCTACGTCATCAAGTCATCAAAATATTCCAAGATGCCCGAAATGCAAACACCTCCTTTTTACTTTTTTTTCTCTATATGATCTTGGGGAATGAGAGGAGCGGTGGACAGGTAAAGGTAAAGACCAATTTTTCGTTGACATTTGAGCACGTCACGGATGCATGGAAACTGAGAGCTCTGATTGGTTAAAGGAGGAATGATAACAGTGCGACAAACAAAAACTCTCATTTCCGATTGGTCGGTTTACTTACTTTACTTACTATTCATCATGTCATGTTTGTTTACTTTATGAAGCAATGAACTCCGAGTTTCAGAGTTTTTTTAGAGAAACTAAGTTCAATTATTTTTTTATTTCTCGCATGCGTAACATTTAATAATTTCTAACTAACGAAAGGCTCCTCGTGTAAGTGAAACAGTAAATGTCATAAGTCTCAAATAGTCCTGTGAATTTCCCGTGCATGACTTGAAACTGTATGCGCGAAATCCAATGGCCGGCCGTGAGCAGCAGATGAGCACAGACCTTAATTTTGTCAGTCTATCCTTATTTCTGGACGGTTCGCTTTTTAAATGATCGATCATCTTGGGTCGCTGCCGTCGATGAAGAATTGGTACGTGTTATTCAATTTTGCTTGTTTACTCTTTTCGCTTCAACTGTCTCTTATCACCTGAGGCCTGAGGAACACTTGACTTGGGGAATCTATTATTTATTTTTAAGCGATGTGCAGGCACAGGAATATCTCTTTTCAGCATTGAAGTATGGAAGGATGTAGCCAGTCAAGTTGGCTATAATCCGAGCAGATTCCTCCAATTTACTCTTTAGAAAACCTTGCGCAGACAAGTTGTATCATCCTCCGTTCCTATTCTTCACGCACTGTTTTCACATACGGACGGAATAATTCAGGATTGGATATTAGCACTGCGTAGAATGCAGAGAACATCAATTATAGCTATGATATCTTTGTGAATACTTAAACTTAAAAATATGCCAAATTCAAAATGAAGCAACCTTTTTCAGATTGTATACATTCCTTTATGTAGGTTAGGTTTTATTTACATTAGGTAATGATTCTGCCCTGTTGTAATAAGTTTAAAAACTTTCAGAATAACCATTCGTATCCTAGAAGGTGCCGAAGTGTAGGCTGCTGACCATCATTCTCACCTATATTTTTCTGTTAATCAAATCCAAATTATTTTCAGATTTTCTGTTCAGTAATCATGGAAACTGCCAACCTATTGCCAACTGAGCCCACTTTATTGATCGAAAGCCACGAATTACCTTGTTTGATTTGTAACTCTGGAACATCAATTCAGAACAGCTACAGTATTTTTTATACGGTTTTACCCAACAAGGGAACTTTGCTGTGCAACAGTATACAAAAAGTGATAAAACGCGCAATAGATCCAGATGTCATCAGGAGCACTGTCCTTTGTAGCAGGTAATATATTCATCTAAACTCAAATAAGTTGGTCACATATGTCACACTAGTGTTCGTATGTTGAGACAAAAGTCAAGTCTTGTTCAGGTCAGCACTCATCAGTGGTGCCATCTGACTGCATGTATTAACCTGTTGAGTGGTGCTGATTCAGGGGTAATCAGAGATTGGCATTTGTCTCAACATTCGATGCGTCCACTCTGGGTAGATGCAACTGGACACAATCTGTCCTACTATCAAGTTTCTATGTACAAGATTAATGTAAACTCATTTTTCGGACAATGTGATTGGGAATGGTATCTGCTGCAGTAGCACACACGTACACAGGGATGCAGAATTTTCTTAATGGCACGAGAAAAAAATGGGACGACTGAACATTAAGGAGAGTAGCATGTATTATCATAGAAGAACTTTTGGCATCCCTGCGTTTTAGAAGCGCCGTATATGGGATGTAAAGAAATAATAAGACTCCTCTCTATCTTTTACCCAAGTTAATATCCAGTTTTTTTGTTACAGATGCTTCTCATTGTTCGATGAATTAGAGGTTTGTGAAGATAGATGTTTTCAGCTCCGCCAAAATATTATATCATGGTTCAATACATCTTGCCAAATTTATGGTGATGTAAATTCATTCGTCACAGATGGAGTTGCCTGTCAGACAGATCCCATTACAAGCGACATTGTAGATATACCTGTTCAAACCCTTCCAAACCCACCTCCAGGATGCAATCCCATTCCACCATCTCGATCAACTGAAGTTGCTGTGTATGAGTCATTCAATGTTGAAAATTCGAACTCATCAATCCTATCCAACAATGACGCGAGTAGCCCAAAAGAATACGGAAATGAGGTATATAATATCTAAATTTTATTCTGATCAGTTTTATTATCTTTATTTAGTATTTTCATTGCCCTTTGTTTTGACCCAATCACATCCCAGGAGCTCAGGGCTGGAGAAAGTTGCAAAGGTCTGACCATCCTTGAGACATTTCTTCCTGACAGCGTCATGACAAAGTCCTCAGTTTTAATGTCAGTGAACAGTTCGCAAATAGGTACTTTTTCTCCTTTCATTAAAAGTATTTCTTTCCCTCACATTTCAAAATTTCTCTTAAATGTTGGGCACTTTTTGAAAATGGGACATTTTTGCAATATTGGTATGAAAGTCAACTTGTAATATTGGAAGAAAGTAAAGTCAACACTTTGAAAATAAGAAAAAGGGGGAGGGGTTAAATTGGACGGCCAATTTAATAAATGAGAAAGCCAGGAACTTTTTCTTTCCCTAATGTTTGCCCTCATTTGCAAACTGTGTGAAAGAGCCACTGTTAGTGCTGTGAGAAGCACATGTGCGCAGGGTTGCCACAGTTAAGGAACTTTAAAATGACAGAAGTGCCAGGGAATTGTTGTTAAGCCTTTATTTGCTTTCTAGAATGAGTCTGTTGTTTCGAACAACAAATTTTGCCTGGAAACTATTTCAAATTATATCTCTCAACCTATGGTATATCTTCAATTGTCAGGAAATTTTAAGTATAAAAATGTGTCGGGAGAATTCACTTGCTAAATTCTGTAGCAACCCTGATTTATAGTCTTTTTAATTCAATTGAAGCATTTAAATATAAATGAAAAAACAACCCAAACAGAATTTCTAAATCATAGCTGAGGATAACAACCAAATACTTTTTTTTTGCCCGCTGTTAATCTGTAATTTTTCATTCCAATAGGAATTTGTGGAAGACCCAAAAAACGTCAAGCAATCGGAAATGATCGTGCCTGTAACGAAAGAAGCAATGCGCCGTCTTCGGCGGTATCGGCACCAGTGTCATCACTGTAACCGCATGTTCAGACGCCCAAGCGAACTTAAAAAACATGTAGCTACACACACAGATTCTAAACCATTTACTTGTGGCAAATGCCACAGAAAGTTTGCCTCAAAACAAGGCATAATTATTCATTTATCAAGAACCCATAATATTGAAGCCTCGGAGGATTCTTCTGCAATTGAAGGTATTGCCTAACAATTAGTCTGTCTGTTATCCCCCTTATTATTATTGTTGTAATTTTTTGTTTGTTTACCTTTTTGCCTTTATTTAGTGATCACTACTTTAGTTAAATTGCAAATAATAGAATTTTTTCAAATAAAATCGCAATAAACTGTAGAACTGTCAATCTAAAATTATATTTAATTTCGTTTAACTATCTCAGAAGGAGCATCAGTTTGTTTAAAAGACGAAGATATTCATGATTTTTTACTTATCATGTCAAGCTTTTGTTCTTATATTGAACTAACAGGGGAAGAGAAAGTAAGCTTTTTATTCTAGAACTTGGGACTGTGATCATTTAAAAAAAAATAAAAAAAAAATCCTAAACTTTGGATTGTGAGAATTTGAAAGTAATTAAAAGGCAATCAAAGTTTTTTACAGTTTCTTTCTAAACAAATGCTCCTACTTGATGATCTGCATCAAACCGAAGTTTTTCCATGTAGTAAAAAATGAAATTCTTATTGAGTTTAGATGTCTTCAATTTTAGATTTAATTCTTAAATTTAGTACTTTTAACCTCATTATGTTCTCCCTCACAACGTTTCGGTACTATCAGAACCACTAATACAAAATTTCACTTTACGTTCATTGATGGCCAAAGTCAAAAAATCCATTCTCAGTTTGGAATGTCTTTGCCCATGTTTCATTTCCTTTAATGGAAAATTAACCTGCAGTTTCTATCGAAATTTTCTGTGAACTTTCTTCACTCACTCTAAAAAGATCAAATAAAATTACAAGAAATGATTTCGATTAGTTTTTCTTGATAATGAAACTTAATCTGAGACTTTAAAATGTTGCCATGGAGACTTGCATTTTTCTCACCTAGCCATCAAAATTTAGCCATTATAAATGTTTAGGCTCATTTTCTGAGAATAAAGTTAAACCTGAAAAGTAAATTTCAGCACTTCTTACATGTACTTGTTTTGGATCGAAGACTCCTAAGAAAACACTTTATTAAATTTGCCCCAATTTTTTGTTTATTTATTAATTTATTGTATTTTATTTTTAACTTTGCCAAATGGATCAGCATTGAGTGACTCGCAGAGAGATGAATCTGGGAAGAATCCTGAAGATTTTGTTCTAGCTGTTATTGGTGAAAACTCCATAGCCACCAAATCTTTGAATGCAAATGAATTTGATGGCAATGACGACTCATCTGACCTCCTCAATTCAACTGCTGATGATTACGATGGTGATTTCGAATGGGAAGAAGGATTTTCCGCCAAAGCTTCAGAGCCTCAGCTGGAGCTTGAACCTGCTCCAAATCACTTATCAGAATCTGGTGAGTTAGTCTCATTATATTTTAATATCTTGACTGCCCTGCCAAATCTTATTTGCTTATAGGTTCCTTTGAGTGCCTTTTGAGTGAAGAACCCCTTTCTGAGAAATGAAAAAATGTTACGCTAAACAATTGCTTCCTCAAATGACAGCAAACTCTCAGTTGAGCTCATGTCTCGTACCTCAAGATTAGATTGGCCTGTAGATGCTATACTTACTGATCAGTATGACAGTAGAATTATGCCCCAGAAAATACTGTTCTTTATGATGAGCTTGTCAGAGAGCAGTTTTATTAGTTCTCTCTCTCATGGGGTTTTTTGACGCCAGAAAAAGACATGGTTCTTGAGTGAAACATTTCCAGGATGTTTCTTTTATGTGCGAATCGGAAAATTTCCCAGTTCCCCCAATTATTTTTTTTTATCTCTTCTTTAGTCTCATTGGATATTCTAGGTGTAACATGGACATTTAACGCAAGAGAACAAAAAATGAAACCTGTAAGTTTGGAATTGTTTACTGGTACATCATTTCTTTTTATCTCAGGTCAAAAATTATAAGTATGCAAAGATTAAAAACAAAGGACAATTTTACAATGCCTGTGTAAAAAATTTAGAAAATGGACTAAATTACTGTGACTAGTGAATCTTATCTTCCGTTCTTCTATTTTTTTTTATCTGAAGCTTATTGCTCGAGGTATTAGGTAAATCTGTCAGTATTTAATTTTTCAGGAAGCATTGCCATGTTCTAGATTTCTAATTCTGTCGTTTAGGTTTTTCAATCTCAGTTCCTTATTCATTATATTCAAAATGAATAGAAATGTCTGTTGTCAACTTTGGAACACCCTTTAATATTTCTTCAATATTCATGCATCATTTTTTTGTGAGTCAATTTCCCCATTTTTCAGAGAATTTGTTGCAAGTACAAAACAAAAGGAAAAGATTCTATGTATTTTTGTTTTTTTTTCTAAGTTATTAGGGTTTTAAAATCCCAATTTTCCACTGCATGTAACTTTTTAGGTTGAAATTGTACAAATTTGCAGTTGTGACCTTGAAAAGTGGAAGTGTCTAAAGTTGACCAGTGCACTTTGGCTGCAACTTGCATTTTCAAAATGAAAGCCAATGCTTTTTTCCTGGGTAATGAAAACATTTTCTGATAATATTTTTTTTTTTTCAATTTAAAGGTTCACTTATTATCAACATTTCTTTCCTCTGCAGATCCCGAGTATCAGCCTCCTGCAATAAGGAGTGAGAAAAGGGGCCGTAAACCCAAAAGCAAAACCCCAAGTGATGAGAAAGCCACAGGAGGAGAGGGCTCCACTGAAGAAAATAACGAAGAGGGAGACAAGAAAGACAAAACGAAACGAATACGAAAAAGGGGAAACCGCACCAGTGAAAGATACACAATGCCAGCTATACACGAGTGTGATCAGTGCGGTAAAAAATGGAGAACTATCTCGGAACTGAAATCGCACATAGCATCCCATAGCTCTCTCAGGCCATACGTTTGTGAGATATGTGGTCAAGCATACAAAATGCGAAAAGCACTGGATGTGCATGTTGGCATGCACAACGGTATTCATCCTTATACTTGTCATATCTGTAATAAGTCTTTCACTCAAAAAGTTGGCCTTCAGAAACACTTGCCCATTCACACCGGCTACACTAGATTCCAGGTTTGTTACTTTACTTTGTTACTTTGTGAAACTTGCAATGAGTTCAACAATGGGTCACTAAACTTTGTGTTTTTTAATTTAATATTCTGAAAGTACCAGGTGAGTAGATTATGTATTGATTTATTTCGTGGTTTTGGAGCCAAAATCCCGGATAAGTCCGCTTTTAATAAGTCCAAATACTCAAAGGAATTTCAAACTTGCCAAAATGGAGGGAAAATGATAAAGAGTGATGTACTACGGCAATGAAATCGCTATCACCACTCATTCTCCACTGATCTTTGTTAAAATAAAACGCATTTTAATGTGGGATTGTTGCTTGCTTACTACAGATAACGTGAATCAGATTGGATTCTTTCATTTCAAGCAGATAGTTTCGCATTTCCCATTATTTTCATGTGTAAGGAGAAGGAAGACATTCAACGGAAGTTGTAGAAACCTGTGCTTGCTTCTGATTGGACCCGAATGACATCATTCAGTTCAGCACAAAACCGAAGCGTTTTAGATTTGTGGAAAAGTTGTGCTTTTAGATCTGCATGTCTCGGTTTCTGAGTTACTTTTTCGCGATTTAAATGTGCGCATCGATTTCTATACGTCATTCACCATTGGAAAAACGTATTTGCAAGTCATAATTCGTTCATGGTCTAGTGACTCATTGCACTGATACGTTTCTTTACGGCCCAACTGCCAAAATCCAAGTTTCAAAAATAACGAAACAACCTGTGCCATTCTGAAGGTTCTCAAGCTTCTAAGCCCAAGAAATGTATGTGTTTAAATAACACTTATATAAACCGGGCTCAAAGGATTGAAAGCACATTGAACAGCACACTGCATTCCGTTTTTTTCGAAACTTAGATTTTTGCGCTTGGGTCTTTCGCAAAAATATCAGCTCTATACCTTGATTATGTTTTCAGGTAGCTTTTGCTACAATGGAATGGCTAAACTCGAAAAAGCACATTATGCATTCTTCAACTGTGTCCACTAGTATGCCAATTGTATCATTGCAAATCTCAGGTCATTTTATTTTTTCCAAGAAAACTAACCAACCTTTTTTTCAGAAATTTTGTGTGAATTTCCTCCGCTTATTTAAGAGTATTCCACAGAAAATCTCAAAAAGATGTTTCAGTTAGTTTTTTTTTTTGAAAAAATAAAACTGAGACAAAGATTTTGAAAGGTTACAATGTTTAAACTCACTTTTAGACTTCAGTCATCGATATGGAATTAAGAAATTCAATTTCAGCCGTAGTTGAGTAAATGATGTTTCTAGGTTTTAGCCCTGGTATTATGGTTTTGGGGGTTTTGCAAGAAATGAGAGAGTGTCAAGTCCCTGAAGGGCTGTAGGAGGATAGGGGACTATGATGGCCAACGGGCTGATTATTGAAATTGATAGACAAAGCAATAGACAAAGGAGACATACAGAGTATGGAGCGATCCTATTGGTTGAAACGGGTGGTTACTGTAGACTAAGGTAGAAAATTATGGACTAACTAAAGGGTCTCTCATGGGTTGCTGTTAGTTAGTCTATTCCCTACCTCCTTTGTCCATTTCAACCATCCGCCTCCACCAATAGGATGCCTTCACATCCTTTTTATTTTCTTTGTGTATTGATTTATTTATCAATTTCAATAATCGGCCTGCAGGTGTTGCAGACCGCCAGACAGCACTGTGAAAGCGGCTCTCATATGCATCATGATTCAATTATGTACAAAAAGGTGCTTGCGCTGAATTTTTCAAAATTCCCATGAACCAAGTATGCTCTCTACTTTTCAATAATGCATCAATTACTGAGAAATTTTTAACGAGCTCATTCTTCTAGCAGTATTATACCGTTGTCGCGATGTTCCATATTATTTTTCTCTTGGCACATTTTTTTTGCCACCCTAGGCCGCAGCCTATGCCTAAATCCTGAATTGATTCTAATTTTTTATTGATTTTTACCTGGTTTGCCTTTCAGTGTGATTTATGCGGGAAAAGGTTTATTCATCACAAGAGCTTCAACATACACAAAATGACTCACACCGGAGAAAAAACTATCAAATGTTCCATCTGTGGTTTAGCTGTGTTATCCCAATCTCATCTCAAAAGACATTACCGCGTTCATACCGGTGAGAGGCCATATGCATGTGAAATATGTGGCAAACGATTTGCTGAAAAGTATAACCTCAACGCACACGGAAGAGTTCACGATCCGGAGTCCTCAGTGGACAGTTCTCGTAAAAAAGTGCATCGGTAAGCACAATTGTGTTTTATCTTAACTTGAAAATTTCAACTAGAGTCAATGTAAGAAGACAAAACTTCATGAAATGAAATGATTCCTTTACAGTGAATGTGTTTTTCTCACAAAGTGGCGTTTTTCCGGCATGGGGGTCACTATCCCTGCCCAATTCCTCAGCAATTAGTTTTTCATATCATTTAATGCTTTCATTTGCACAAACGCAGCATTGCTTCCTGCAAAATTGTATCCATAATGCAGCATTTCCTTCATTACTGAGCAACTGCCACTCAGAAGTATCCACATTTGTGGCTCCATTGGTGGAGGAGGACATTAAATTGAAAATATTTGATCCCTCAATAAATCGATGTAAAATACAGAAGAAAACGAGATTTAATGCTTTTTTATCAACCTTAAAACTCTCTAACTTCCTCAACAATTACTCAATCCCTTTTCTTTTTTTATGTTTTGCTTTCATCTATTAAAAGTACCATTATGAAAGTGTCATCCAGAGTCCCTTTATACTAAGGGTCAAGACAATGTGAATCCATTTCTGATTGGTTCCCGTATTTTAGGCCATCACAGTGTCAAAAACGGGAATAAAGATTACATTTTCACCCATTGCAAAGATTATAATCTGGAATGGACCAGGGAATTACGGGTTTGGCAATGAACAAACGGAATGAGAGAGGGAACGAAGAAAGGAATTTGAGAATGGGCCGATCAAAGATTACAAAAAACGTTCAATTTCTGTAATCTTTATTCCCGTTTGTGACTCCATGAGGGGGTGTTGTCTTGACTCTCAGTATAAAGGGACTCTAGTGTCATCAAATGTGCAATTCTAGCTCTTTTCAAAATACTGCCGGGCACTTCACAAGGATGATTGGCTTTCAAGTACATAGTCCTCATTTTTGCAGAATGGATTTTGTTTTTGTGCTTTATGGCAATCTAACTTGCAAGATTTATCAATGTCGTTATTTATTTTCAAGCATAGTTCACACCGATACATGGAAACATGTTTATTTTTTATTATTTTTTTTGTTCACTAAAAAATACTATGTTACTGAGGAATCAATCCCATATACTTGCCTATACCTTGCATTTTTGTGCTAGGTAAATGAAACCTTTCTGAAGATGTGTAATCAAAACATTTGCGTGTGAATTTGCTAAGTTTCCAGTAATCCTGTTTTAAACAAAATTGAATATGCTGTGCCTATGCCGTTTATTACATTAATGGTGCATCACCTAGGAGACAAAATAATTCAAAGTTTTTAGAAATTTCATTAAATATGCTTAGTCCCC